TTATTTTTTTTTCCCCCTCCATGACATTTATTTTTTGGCACAAAGCCATAATCTGTATTTTTATTTTTTTATGTATTTATTTTTATATGCAATTCACTTTTTAATTTATGATGATGATCAATTGAATCTATGACAAACTAGCAGATCCCAGCACTTAAGGCATTCTAACCCTTTTTTGTCTTTGTTAATTTTAAATGAATATTTTCAGGATTTACTCAGTCCTGCTTCAGGAAACAATTTGCTCAGTGCTGTGTTTTTCATTCAAAGTCCGGTAAATTCGTTCAAGTGCTGACGTTGAATAGTAAATTTTTCAGATTTTTTTACTATATTGATGTAAATGTTATTAGTTATTCAATAGTCATTAGTGACACGAGGACTGTAGCCACAATAGAAATGGTTTCTGGACTTGCTTTAATGTTTTATGTTTCGTAATTAACAAAATTATTCCATAATTGTTTAAGCATTTTTTTTTTTAATTATTAAATTCAAGGATTTGTTGTATGGTAAGTGTGAATGTGCAGATTAGCGACTCAGAAGAAATCGTCTATTTGGTGGCCACGGTTTTCATGTATTTTAAATTTGGTACTGTCTCCTAACCAATAAAATGTTGTTTGCAGTCTGCAGTTTTACACAGTTTTCAGGAAATTGGTGGCTTGAATCACACACATTGATATCTGTTCAGGTCTTATTTTGATAAAAATGTTCTTCCTGATGCCATATTGCTAAAATAATTCAAACTCAAGTTCTGCGTAACGGTAGGCCATGCGGTTTATTTCTAGGTCTCTAGACCTTACTAAACAATCCCTGGCTTCCAACTGGCATTAAGGCCATATAAAAAACAAAGGAATTGTTCATATTGCCCATCACTGTAAATGGGATGTAACTTTATCTTTTGTAGACCAGGTTTGAAAATAAATGGAAGGGTTAATATACTCTGGGCAATACCTTGACTTAATGTCCATTTTATTTACATATAGGGCATCCTGTAAATTCAGACGTAGTGGTTTCTAACCTTACAAAGAATGGGAGATTGCAGTTGCGGTTTTATAAAATTGTTTGTTCTAATTAGGGTCGAGTTTGCAGTGCACCTTTGATATGAAAATCAATCCAAGTTGTGTGTATGAAAAAGGCACATGGTGGTAGTGTTGCCCACCTGGCAGTATTTTAAAATGCTCTGTATTTTGCCACTGGGTCAGCTGTAATGCAGTGAAGTCTGGGCTCCACTGGGTCAACTCTATGGATTTCTACACTGCAGTGGCATTCGTTTTGGCTCTAGTGGGTCACCTGTGTGACATTATGTAATGTGGTGGGGTAATGTTTTTAATCTCCAGGTTTTTAAAATTCAGTAAATTTATATCTGAGTTTGGGTTGATCTTTTTGGGCACCGTGCAGTTGAAGCAGTTTTGGTTCCAGTGGGTCATCTGTGTGGCATTATGTAATGCAGTGGGGTCTTCAGCTCATCTGAGCCATCTGTATGGTAATATTCAATGCAATGGGGTCATGGTTTCACTGGGTCAACTCTATATGGTATGGTATTGCATTGGCCTCAGTTTTGGCTCCAGCGATTCCCCTACATGGCATTGTGTTATGCTGTAGGGCAATGTTTTAGCTCCAGATTTCTGAGAGTAATTTCACATTCGGGATAGGTACAGGAACCAAGTAGCGCCTGCATTTACACACAACTTATTATTTATTTGTATTTTTTTTGTGACCTGCTTACTCTAAAGAAGAAGAGGAAAACATTTAAATCCATTAACAGATACTCTATGGAAAACCAAGCATTCAGATTCATGACTCTGTACAGTAATACAGTAAAAGACTTTAAGAATAAGCTACTTGTAGTGCAATAATATACAAACTAAAAAATTTACTCAAAGTGCAGGTACCAGCCAGATTTGATTGTAACTCTTCGATTTATTTATTTTTAATGACTCCCACTTCTGTTTTTCACCAGCCTAAGAACCATGAATCACTACAAATGCTATGATCTTTCTGCTGGTAGCATAGTCTGCTATATGCACCTCAAGCCCAAATGCGTGAGGATCATGGAACAACAAACTTCCAGCAATTGTGGAAGTGCAGAGATTATCCTTAGAATTGCAAGCGTACGCATCAAAAACATCTTGCAATACAATGGAAGTCAAGCGAACCACTTTGGTGTATCATTTTTAGTTTAGTCACAACTTAGCTGAAAAGTTGATATGATTGTATACAAAATAAAGCCAAATAGATTTTAAGCATATGGTTCTTAAATTATCTTTATTTTCATTTTAGAATTAAATGGATTATTGTAAACATGTTTTGGTGTCTGACTATTTGTTTCCCTTATCTCTCCCCTATGTATACGGAGTTCCTAAACAGGGCTTTCAGTACTTGGGCACAAACAGTATGCAGACTTAAAGCTGAATCTTGGCCACAAAAAAAAAAAATTTAAATATATTCCTTTAAAGCCACAGAGCATATAGATCCACTTTGTGTGCACCAAATCCTTTTGCACTTCAATGTAAATGTAGCAGTGACCTCATTGCTGTGCTCTACATAGTCTGTGAAGTGAGTGAAGCTGTGGAAGGGCCGAGCTCCCAGGGGAGGTGTAGACAAGACCAGCACCTGCACAAGGAGAGAGAATAATAGCAACTGGTCTTTTATTACAAGAAGCTCTTGCACAGAAAGTTTCACACTAGGTTACTGCAAAGATTCAAGTAAGAACACACATCTCTTACATTTAGCCAATATTTGCGTATGCTGGATTTAAGCTTTATAGTTCCAAGCTAAATGGATGAAAAAAAATTAAACTTCTCTGGCTGCAATACTCCTTTTTAATACAGAGCTTTCCCACAGAGTACTTCTACTTCACAGCACATGTCCTCAATTATCTGGGTTGAATGATACTCTGTACCCCCTCAACCTGAAAGACTGGGAAAAGATTGTGAATGCAGGATGTTATGACTCTGCCCCTATGCATGAGTCTGTGTAGTGATGCACAGAGCAAAAACAAGGGGCGCCTTCCCTAGTGTAGATACATTTTTATTAAACAAACAGCAAAAGTAGAATAATACTCGCAAAAGAGTAGATGACAATGAGCCTTCAAAATCAAAGGTTGATCCTCATTTAAGCAAAACACAGCATGCGAGAGCTGCACAGATAGTAGTTCCTGTGTGCCTAAGTTGACATGTTTCCGGGGCCACTGCCCCTTCCTCAGAACCTGACCTCCTCCACATTGAATTTAAGTAGAGGCTAACAGCCAATCAATAGAGCCTCTGGCTGACAGATTGTGACTTCCATGAGCCCCCACCCATTCAGGCTGTGTCAAAATCACTCAGTCAACTTAGGACCTCTGATCGCCTTGCCCACTGTGACTCACAGAGCCCTCTGTCCAATCAAAGGGACAGAATACCGATATGTAAGGACTCTGTGTTACCAGTGTCCGCACGGAGATAAAATCCTTGCAAGTGCTGAGAGAAATTCGAGCTGCAGAGTATACAGGCGAAACTCGAATAATTAGAATATCGTGCAAAAGTTC